CTTACTTCACTTTCCTACTGATGTCCTTACTTTTTTTTTTTGAAATGTTTTCTTTACTTATTTTCTTTACTCCTTTATTATTTTATATATATATATATATATATAATTTATTATTATATTAAATTTATTTAAACGGGTAAACGGGTAATAAATGTGTTGACAAGTCTAACCCGAACACGACCCATTTATTAAACGTGTCTAGCAGGTCAACCCATTTACCACCCAAACTCGTTAAGGTCTCACCCAAACCTATTTAATTCATGTCGATTTGTGTCGGTTAATTGTATTGTGTCAAATTTTGACAGGCCTAGGTGGGACCCCCAAGTGGCAGAGCATTGAGTTGCAGGTGTTCTGGTGTTTCTGGGCAAAACCTTCCTGAAGGTCGAAGCAAACCTTCCAAAATGTTTTTTCCAGTAGGCAAAACCTTCCAAAAGGTCTTCTGGAAGGTGCAAACTCAGAAAATAAAATTGTCATAACTTTTCATCCAACCATCTAAAACTTTCATGTTTTGAACTTTTAAGATTGGAAGTGGATCATGGTCAAAAATGGGGCCGCTAAATATGCAATATTAAATATGAGGCTATTAAATATGCAATATTACGCGCTCATCACTATTCTTCAAAAGAAGCTACCACCAAAGCTCAAAGATCCAGGTAGGTTTACAATTCCATGCACAATAGGCAACCAATTTTTCGGAAAAGCATTGTGTGACTTGGGAGCTAGTATTAACTTGATGCCACTCTCAATTTATCAAAAATTGGGTTTGAAGGAAGCGAAACCTACTAATGTTACATTGCAGCTTGCAGATAGATCACTCCCTTATCCAAGGGGCATAGTTGAGGACATTCTAGTTAAAGTGGATAAGTTCATTTTTTAGCTGATTTCATAGTCTTAGATTGTAAGGAAGATAGTGAAATACCTATTATTCTTGGGTGATCATTCTTAGCAACACGGAGAACACTTAGCGATGTACAGAAAGTTGAGCTAACTATGCGAGTCCAAGATCAAGAGGTTACATTCAATGTATTTTCAGCAATAAAATTTCCCAAGGAAGCGAAATAATGTTTTCGATTTCATTTAGTTGAAGAGGAAATGAATGATGTATTCGTTGGAAGCTATATTTCAGATCCCCTTGATAACACCAAGCTATATAAAGAGAAGGTAAAAAGGTGGCATGATAAGAAGATCATTGAGCGGAAGTTTGAGCTAGGTCAAGTTGTACTCCTTTTCAATTCACGGTTAAAGCTTTTCCCAGGAAAACTCTAATTAACCCTAATTAGTATATAAATCAGAATAGTTAAAAATTCACATTGGTGTGATAAAATAACTAAAAACAAGAACTTAAGATCAATTAGGGTTTTGTGCGGGAATTAGGGTTTTTAATATTTTATGTCCAAAGTTTAGGGTTTAATGCAGAATTATCGAAGAATACAAGGAGCAAAGTATGGAGGCTTGAAACAATAAAGGCCAAAGTGTAATTTCACCAAAGGAAGAGTCAGCACACATGCAAGTTGCAAATCCAGCAAAGCTCCACAGTCCGAACGATGGAGGGGCGTCCGGATGGTCCATCTTGATGGCTATCTTTATCTTTCCACCTCATGCTTCCTAAAATGGCTATAAATAGTCATGCCCTCCTTCATTTTCTGGAGGCCGGAACCAAGAGAGCTCTAGAGAGAAATCCAAGAGAGAAAAGAGAAAAGAGAAAGAGAAAGAGAAAAAGAAAAAGAAAAGTTGCAAAACGATCCAATCTGTGATGCACTTCAGTCCAAACTTTGTACTTCTGCATTCCTGTTGTATATTTCTATTCGGATAGTTGAACTGCCATCACCTTTTTGTCATAACTGATAATAAAGATGATTGTGTTTTAGTTGTTGCTTGTGAAAGATATTTTAGATTTTGTATTTTAATTCTAGTTGTAATGAAAACTGTCTGCACTCCTTGCTTGTTTGTAGCAATGGGGCGTGAGTAGTCACTTATATCGTTCAGTAAGAGGTAAACATATGTACAATACTGGTTAAATTCTAGAAATACTGATGTTTTATATATTTATATATCTATGTATTATATATTTCATGCATGATAAAGTAATGTACTTACTTTCGGCGCTGTGCCTAGAAGTACGTCATCAGTGCATCATCAACCTGCCGGTAAAACAACCACGACATTCCTATCAGTATGGCTTGTCCTCCACTGGAACACTGAGGATGTTAATTGATGCATGGTACAAAACCTAAATGATCCTCATGAATAGCTTGTCCTTCTAGGTTATTAGGGTTTAACTTATATATATATATATATATATATATAACTATTAGATGAATGACCTAAGTGATCCTCATGAATGGCTAGTCCTTCTAGATTACTCAGATCGTTTAACTAGTATAAATGATAATATTATCAGTCTAACAACCACCGCATTCCTATCGGTATGGTTTATCCTCCACCAGAATGTTGAGGATGTTTAACTGGTATATATGTATCACACATGAAGTCAAATGAATAATTCAAGTATTTCTCATGAATGGCTTATCCTTCTTGTTTGCTTGGATTAATCACTTGATACATCTATAACCAGCTAACCTAAAAAGTTGTTGTGTTATGACTAATACCACTAGTTGACCTAATAAGTGGTTGTGTTATGGTATATTATGTACTCACCTACTATTATGGAGACAAATGAATAATTCAAGTGATTCTCATGAATGGCTTGTCCTTCTAGTTTGCTTGGATTAATCAATTGTCATGGATACCACCAGCTAACCTAAAAAGTTATTGTGTGATGGTTTATATACATCAGACCTACCAATTGACTTGCCAGTAAGATGGAAGTTGATTGCTGTAAGGTAGCATTTCTAGTATTTAACCAATATAATGCATATGTGATCCTTGAACTAAAGGATACTTTTTATTGTCTAAATCTATCTGCAACATAAATATTTACTTATACTAGTTATCAATCTAAGCTATCACAAGCTTTCAAATGCTATCTGATTCGAATTAACAACTTAACTATTTTTATTTCGTTTCCAAATTATTAAAACTCTTCATGGGATCGATACTTGGACTTAAAACCGAAAAAACTACAATTCGACCACTTATACTTGGGTGTATAATATTAATCCGATCACGAAAATAGTGCGAATCAAACTCAAATCAAGGTGGTAAGGGTCATTCATTATTACGAAGGTGTTCCCACAAGGAGCAATCAAAGTCGAGGAGGTGAATTCGAAGAGAACTTTCAAGATGAATGGGCAGAGACTGAAGCACTATTGGGGCAGCGACTTTGATCACCAAAAGACCTCAATTAACCTTGCTAACCCAGAATGAAATAGGAAGTAGTCAAGATGAAGACTATAAAACAAGCGCTTGGTGGGAGGCAACCCAAATTTTAGTTTTGAAGTTTTATTTCAATTTATTTTTTTATGAGAAATAATGATATTAGTTAGTTGGTGCATTTTAATTGGTCTGTCAATTGCTTGCAGATCCCAAGAATTGAACATAAAGTTGGAGCACGCACAAAACCTTACTAGGAGCCAAGAGTAGCCCACTGACTTCAGCAATTAAAACAGGACAGCACAACAGCGCTGTCCCACTGCAAAATCAGCTCAACAGCGCTGTCCATAGTGCAGCAACCCTCACATTCAACTCCCAAATCAATGCACCAACGTTGTCCCACTACAAAAGTAGCACAGCAGCACTGTCCATAGCGTAGTAGCCCACCAACTCTAGCAATTAAAAGGTCAACACATCTTAAGGATTTGGGCATACGAAATTTCCTCCTACATTTCAAAGCTCTAAAACCCATTCTCTCCAACTCCCAATCACTCATAATTCCATTGAATCATCAACTTGGAAGTCCCAATCTCTTATATATAATAACAATTGAAACTCATATTCTAAAGCTTTTTCGATATATGAACAAGATGACTATAGAAGAGTTGGTGAACATTGTTCTGACTCATAGCTCTAAGATGACTAGCATGAATGAGCCGGCTTCAACACTACCTAGACTCTTAATCATAGACAGACTTGCGACCTCAACATAAAAGGATGAGCCTGGCCCCTTCTTCTATCTTACTATTTGTACGCATTGGCTTAATTCACTCCTAACCTCCCTAGACACTGCAAAGAACACATAATGAAAACTGCCTGGTAAGGGCTGTACAAGGGAACGAGAAAGGGGTTTGATAAGAAAGAGTTTGGGAGTGTCCCGCTTAGTTAACAAACATCGAGTTTGAAGTCGAGGCAGCATGGATACGAGACTATTGAAGTGAAGTTTGGAATCATTATGGTTTTCTATCTTCAGATTACCAAATTGGAGAATCACCAAGGCCTTTCAGCGATTCGACGCGCCCCCCTAAGCGTCACGCTTCACCTACCTGACCTCAGATAGAATGAGTCGCCCTAGCCTTAGTCTTACTAAGAGTTTGAATTGCTCTGTAGGATAGTAGGGCGAATGAATCGCATTAGTGCGATTTGGCTAGCTGAATCGCCCAGCGAACAAATCACCTCCTTGCCTATTTTAAAAAGAAAAGCAGACCCGCGCGAATCGTGTCTTCGATCTTGCATATAAATAATCAATCTTTCTTTCTTTCTTTCTTTCTTTCTTTATATTTGATATATATATATTTCTTTATCAACCAGGTCAACTGACGCCAGCATCACCACTACGGAAACGAAATTTCCTTAGTCCTTTTTCTGTGAAACAAAGCCAAGCCTTTGGTTGAATGTTCACACCTGTCCGCCTTCCATCCCGCGTTTCCCTGCTTGAAACAGTTTTTTTTGATTAGCCCAGTCATGAACCACCTGGTTGGAGCCATGGTCTACCCAGCAGTGCTTCATATCCTCCTTGCTCTTTGTCTAAGATTGGACTAAAGGTACCAAACCGGCTTTTTTGTTTGTTGTTTTTATTTTGGCTAAGAAGCCCGTAGGTTGTACGCCAGCCATACGTAGCTTGAACTGTGATGGCCACAATGCTTTAGCTATTGCCGATCTCCAAGATGCCTTTGGTTGAATGTTCACACCTGATCCCCTGAAAATATAAGGGCTGCACTTCCTACATTCACTCCCGGAAATTGAAACAGGAATTGTAACCTCCCGGTCTGCTGTAGTCAGCCTCACGGTGTGCCTGACTGGCGAGTCTGCCGTCTCCACGGCTTTCCCTTTTTCGGGCTGCTCCTCAAGCCTTCGAGTGCCGATCTTCGCTTGGGCCGGCTCCGAGGCTCTACCCTGGCTTTTCATTGGTTTCTCCCAGGGGCCTTTATCGTTCGTATCGCGCGCGCATCTTCAAGCAATCGGGGGAGGCGCCGAGTACATAGACGAGGCGGTCCCGGGAATGAAAGTCCATTCCCTCGTGCTCTGGGACTTCTTCGGTTGAACAAAAAAGGTTCAATCTTGTTCAACCGTAGCGTAGGCGAAACCTGGCAGCCCGCCCAGAGTTTGACCTTCTCCGGTCCTGGAAGGAAACCCGACTTTCCTTCCTTCCCCCAGCAGGCAAGAAGACTGGGAGGAAGACGATCAGGATCTCACGTATGGCAGCTGTTGGAACAAACTCCGAAGCCAAAAGGTACCTACCTAGAAAAAAAGGAAACTCACCACTCACTGGTGAAAGAGGAGAGAGAAAGGACCAATTGGTGGAGTCCAGTCCCCGGAGGACAGAATAGCACTACTTAGTGACTAGGAGCGGATCTCTCTATCTCGTTAATGTCATAGTTTATTTTCCAGATCAGCTTCTGCCGTTCCCGGCTTCATTCTCCACAGTAATGGCTTTACTACAATCCTTTCCCAAGCATCTGGTAATTCTGGCCGCCTTTCCACTCCTCACTTTGGTTTCCACCAAGCCAATCAAATCTGCCTCTTGTGCTCTTATATAATCTTTGGCCTCTCTCTGCTTCTCGACTTTACCGATCTTTCTGACATTCCATAGTTGGACCTTCATGTGGAACTATTGTTGTTTTTACATTCCCCTCGCACCTTAGCGCTGCCTCTGGTTTTTCGTCTTGTGCAGCCGCAGCCCTTATTTGTCTTTTGTTCTTTGGCCTTGACTTTCCCCCTCCCCCCTCTTTCTTAGAATTCAACATCTCTGATATGTTCTGGCATTTTGTTCGCCCACTCTTCATTCAGGGTGGTTAGAACCAGGGGAGGATCTTCCACCTTTAAGGTCATAGCACCAGCACCTGAACGCTTACTCTTACTGCTCTTCTCAGGTTCACCTCTTTTCTTAGGATTGGCTGCCCTGAGGTTCTTGTTTGGAGTCATTTGTTTATCACAGAACAAGTCCCCCTCAGTCACTGCCATAGTTGACCCAGTATCAACCCTCTCTTCCAGATCCTCGCTTCTATGGGCCAAATCACTCTCCTCGGGAGTTATCTCCTTGACTACACCCTCCTCGGCTTTGTTACCCATATACTCATCCTGAGCAATCTCTTCCGGTTCAGCAGTGTCCAGATCTGGCATCTTTGCCTCTTCTTGTTCAGGGTCCTCTAGAACCGCAAAACGGTTCGGGCTGACTAGGTCCAGTTGGGTCATTCCACTAGCACAACTAGTGTCCAGCTCCCCCCCTTTGCCATTGTCACTACTGGTACCTGACCCCGTCGGCTCGACATTTTTGCAAACACCGACCCTTACTCAATAGAATAGG